GCTCAGTTTCAGACATATAGATGTTACTAATTAACCTGATTAAATCAAATTGATGATTTTATATTTTAATTCTCCATCACCAACTTACCTGTTGTCACTGCACTTGTAAAAAAAAAAAAATGAAAATATAAGAGACTTGTTTACAAAGTAGAAACAATAGGAATTCAAGATTCCAATGTAGAATATATCTGAATAAGATATATGTGTTATCTATCACAATTTATTGTAAATACTGTGTATTGAAAATTAAGTTGTTCAAGATTCTGATGAATAGAGCCCAGACTGGAATTAAACTGGAAAAACAGTATGGTTTTATTAGACATTGGAATAAGAAATGCAATATTTAGGATCAGAATGATATCAGAGTAAGCAATACAACTGTAGGAGGACATATACCTGTTGTACAGACTACTCAAAAGCCTATTAAGTTTTAGATACACATAGTGAAGCTTGGGCTGTTGCTTTGGATATTTTGAAGGCATTTGACAGGGTTTCACACACTGGTCTTCTTCATATGTTAAAAGGTTATGGTATTTCTAGATAAACATTTGAACCCGATTCAATCTTTCTTATCAAATTGTGAAATGAAAGTTATTGTCACTCATCTAGATCTTTTTGCATTAATGCAGCTGTCTATTCTTGAACCTATAGTGTTCCTAATTTTATCAGTGACATTCCTGATGTATTCAGTTCTCAACTAGGTATCTATATTGATATTACAACTATTTACATCTGTCTTAATAATAAGTCTGATCAGTTCAATAAAATCAATTCACCAGCTGATCTAAACAAATGACCTACAATCTGTTGTTAAATGGGGGTAAGAAATAGCTTGTTAATTTTAATACCTCCAAAACAAAACTGTTCTCTTTTAATCATCTGTAAGAACCTTTTTTACCTTCCATCAGATGTTAATCTCCAGGAGAGTAACTTGTTGGGACTTCTTGGGCTAACATTTTCTGCTGACATGAAGTGGAAAGATTATATTGAATCATTTGCTAGGTCTACTACTATGAAAGCTGATTCACTGTGTCTTGCTAGACAATTTTTCTTACCAGAATCCATTTTACATTTATAAGTCTATCATGCTTTGTCACATACAACTGTCACCTTGAAATGCATTATCCATTGCCTAACTGTGGTCACATCTTCTGTTTCTGTAAATGCTCATCAAGCATTGATGACTGTCTGTAGGTGTAATTTAGAAATTCAATGATACAAATATAAACATAAAAAAAATGAATAGCATTATTTTCTGAGTAAATTCCTTTGTGTGAAATGGAGGACCTATCCATATTATTTTTCTTGATATTTCAACTTTTAAAAAGCTGCTAATCTATGTACATCTATTTCAGGATAAATATTCTTCAGTTAATACAGTGGATATTGCTAATAAGCTGAATAATTTCTATTTCCATGGTGAAGTCAATTGTTGAGAGTTTTATTTAAGGTAGAGCGCATATTGGGACTTAAGCTCAACCCAGACATCAAAAAATACATACATACAATCCATTGCTAAAGATGCTGGAAAAAGGTTTGGCTCCCTCTGCCACTCCAGTAAGTACCTGACTCTGCTCGATATTTACAAGAGCCAAATCAGGTCAAAAATGGAGTGCTGCTGCCACATATGGACAGGAGCTACCCAGTCTTCACTTTTCAGTCTTGATAGAATCCAAAAGTATCTCCATGTCCTTGTGAGTGATGAATTATTTTCTATCCTACAACCCCTTTCTCACAGATGAAAAATTAGAAACTTCTACTCCATCACTATTTCTATGAAAAGTGTTCAGAGGAACTATATTCCTTAGTTCTACCAGTTCTAACCTTCACGGCTAAGACCTACCATGTCAGGAACATTGTAGTAAACCACACTCATTCCCTTCATATTCCATTGGTGAGATGTGAGTCATACTTGAGCAGCTTCTTCCCACAAACTACTGCTTTGTCAAACTGACTCCCAAGAGGATTCATCCCTGATCATTAACCTGTTCAAGTCTAGGGTTAAATGCTATCTTCCCCACATATCCCCATAAACTACCTCTTACTCTATAACACTCTACCTTGAGTAGATCTTGGGCTTTGTACAGAGTGAACATTGTAAGTTACTTTAGTTTATATACACCTTAAAGATTGTTTATCATATTCTAAGTAAGTCTTTATAATAGTATACTTACTGATATTTATTTCTTTTAGTTGCAAATCAAAAAATATAACAAAAAAAAACAAAAACAAATATTTATTGATTCAACATCTTTTTTCACCCCAAGTAAGGTGGGAGTTTCACTAGTACACAGGGAGTTACAGATAGTGAAAGTGAGAGAAAAGACTGGGTATAGGGGGACCAAGGAAAAGATAAAAGCTGAAGAGGGTTCAAGAAGATAGAAGATGGTGATTGACATTGCATTTAAATTTTTGAACATTGTAATTATCAGGGAAGAAAGTAAGTGGAAGGGAGTTCCACTGTTGGGAAGTGCGAGAAAAGAAACTTAGATTAGAAGTGGCAGTTACATTTAACTATTTTAACAGTAAAAAGATGGGACCTAGATGCCAATCTAGTAGCATGCTTAAATTCATGTAGTAGGGGTAGCAAGGAAAAAAGCTTGTCAGAGCAGTTGCCATGAAAATATTTGTAGATGACCAATATGCCAAACCCTATCAAATGCAACAGGACATCAAGCAAACCTCCTCAACCTCTTTCTAACCTCTTGTCCTGATAAATGCTTAACAAAAGTTTTACCTCTCCTAGGCACATCAGATCATTCCCTAATCTGTCCATACTGATGCCAAACCTAAGGCACCCTTGATGTACCAATCCATAGAACAATTTTTCACTATTTGAAGGGAGACTGAAACAGCTTTCAGTCCTACATGATGGCAGCTCCCCTCTCAATCTTCAAGCATACTACCTCCAAAACTGCTGATTGGATCTTTTCTGGAATGGAGAGATTTATACACTCACCAAAAATTCTAGTAAAAACCAAACAGTTAGCCCTGGTTCACCCCTGAATGCACTGCAGCCATAACTCCCCAAAACCACTACTTCAATATCTATCACAAGGAACAATGTAATTTGACCTCACTGCATTCAGAACTTTCTGCAGTTGCAGCAACTTTTTTGCTGCAATTGCAGAAAGTTCTGAATGCAGTGAGGTTAAATTACATTACTAGAAAATGCCGAGTGCAGAAGCAGTCCAGACCAAGGTCGAAAAGAAATAATTTAGATCCCAGGAATTCTGGAAGATCACCAACCAAATCATGAACAGAATTAAAGTAGCTGTGTTCGCAATTATAAATGGTCACAAGGTCATATCTTCCTCAGTAAACAAGATGAACCTCTTTGCCTCTAACTCAAGTGTATGCCCAGTTTTTAAGAAGGTGACTGTATGATCTTCCTCCTCTCAGTACAGACCCATCAGTCTCCTCAGTATTATCAGTAAGCTTTATGAAGCTATAATCATTGAGAAAATCATTAAGTACCTAGAGAAGAACAACCTTTTCAGTGATAAGCAGTATGGGTTTTAATCGGCCTGATCCACTGCCAACATCCTAATTACTATCACTCACAGAATCAGTGCAGCTCTTGATGACAAACATACCTCAAGGATCATAGCATTAGATATTGCAAAAGCCTTTAACAAGATGTGGCACAAAAGTTTACTACACAATCTCTCCAGTTATAGAATCACTGGAAGGGTCTTCTTGATCATAAAATCTTTCCTAACATGTAGGTCCCTGAAGGTAGTTATTAATGGCCAATCCTCCAAAGCCGTAACAGTCAATGCAGGCATCCCCAAGGGGTCACTCCTTGGACTAACCCTCTTTTTGATTTATATAAATGATCTGCCTAAGAATATACTCAGATCATTTGTAAACATCTATACCAATGATAAAACTATATACGGGCGCACTTCTAAAACTCTTGATGGTCAGAAATTGGCAACTGGTCTCTCTTCCGATCTTGTCCAAACTACCCAATGGGGTAAAAACTGGCTGGTTAGATTCAATGCCTCAGGGACCAAGCTAGTTATAATCGACCATTGCCAGTTTGACCTTGAACTACCACCTGCCAGGATGAACAGACATCCTCTTGGGGAGGAACCATTCCTTGAAAGACTATTGAGCCTCAAACTTGCAGCAGACCTCAAGTGAAACTTTTATGTATGATCCACTGCTAAGAATGCAGATAAAATGGTTAGCTCCATGTACCACCCTAGTAAGTACCTGATTCCTCTTGCTATCCTCTACCTTTACAAGAAACAAATCAGGCCAAAAATGGAGTACTTTTGTCATATTTGGGTGGGAACTGCCTAGACTTTACTCTCCAGCCTTGATAGAGTCCAAAAGCATCTCTGAGCACTTGTGGGTGACAAATTATTCTCCACCCTCCAAACTTTCTCTCACAGGTGGGATGTGGCAAGCCTCTCACTGCTCTGCTGCTAATTCCACAGAAAGTACTCGGATGAACTATATTCCCTGGTCCTGCCAAGTCAAACCATAACATTAAGAACACGCCATGCCACTTACATAGATGCATGCCATCCACATTGCTTCTGTATTCTATTGATGATAAGTAAGTTCCACTTGAACAACTTCTTCCTGTGATCCACTGCCTTGTGGAACAGACTCCCCACAGGATGTTTCCCTGATTACTACAATCTTTACCTGTTCAAGGCTAGGGTTAACCACTATCTTTCCATTCCTATATGCACAAATGGACTCCTAATGTAACCCTCTACCTTGGGTGAAATTAAAAAGTGGGGAGATTTTTAAAAATCATATAATATGGATTAATTTTTGCTGTTCTCATTTTTAAATGTTTGCTGAAAGATTTTTAGAATGATACAAAAGTCAACAGGTCAATCAATTAATGTGTCATGTTTGGATATCAGAGAGAAAAACAATACATTAAAACAGAACCATTACTTGTGTAGAAATATTTATATATCAATCATCACAACTCTTTAAAAAACATTTTTTATTCAAATAAAAAAAGGTTTTACCTTATTTGAGTCTAAGTCTACAAGCCAGACATCATCTGGCATGTGGAATCCGACTTTGTATAGGAAGAAGCTGGAGGGTACCCCAATGATATAGGGAGTTGGTACCAGAAGTAACTGTAAAATAATATGCATTGAATTAACTTTGACTGACAACAATGAAAAACTGCACAAATTTTGATAGTGTTAATTAAAATAAAGATCATTAGATTTTATTTTGAAACAGCTCATAAACATATCAAATGACAAATCATGGAAGATAATTTTAATATAATTTATTATTATATTAATTATAAATATTAAGTATAATTGATAAATACAATTTCTTATAATAATCTACAATAATAATGCGATTTTAGTTTAATATGGCATTATTATTATAACAGATTATTATAAGAAATTGTAGTTATCAATTATATTTTTATTAATAATTAAATTACAAAGATAATATCCACCCTGAATTAAAAATCGTTTTTAAATCAGATTCAAAGTGGTATGCTTAAAATTTGTGAGAATAGTGCATACAAAATTATTTTTAGGAATAAAGTGTTAATTCATAAAAAAGCAAGATATAACAGAATAGGAATTATTTCAAAATAGAACATTTGAAATAAAAGTTAGAAACTCCTGAGTGTTTAAGATTAAGTGCCTGATTAATACAAAGCTAGTCTAACAGACACAAACAGTTAGAATCAGATGGTCCCTTGAGAATTTGAATAAAGTTAAAAGCTTACAGAGACACTAACAATTTAGGTACCTTTTGCATGACCAAATCCAATTTTGACAAGTAAAAATTTTTTCTTTTGCTTTGTTTAATTAAAATCTCATCAGTACAAATTATTTTTTTAGTTCTCTGCCAGACAGTTAAATGTTTGTAACAAAGTGAATTGAACCAGATGTGGAGCATTTTTATACAGGAATTAAAAGGTAACAAAATATTGGTTCCTGACTTTCTAAGTCAATTCTACAAGCAGACATACACACCTAAAGATGTAATTATAAAAGGATACATGCATACAGTTTCTATAACATTTATTAGTTTGCTTAATATCCAATATATATATATATATATATATATATATATATATATATATATATAACTGGTCTAGGAGAAGGACAACTCTGAATTCAAAACCTGCGGAGGGTCGTTTGGGAACCTCGTGGCACTTAGTGCACCAGGTCTCTGTATTCGTCCTTTCAAAAAGTGTGGATGGTCCTGCACGAAGCCTTCACCACTATAATTAAATCTCATGAGCCGGTGTCGGGCTGTCGGTTTCCTGGAAACTGATCTGCTTGAACCTCATATGTCGAGTTCGACAGGAGAGTTGACTATATATATATATATATATATATATATATATATATATATATATATATATATATATATATATATATGTATGTATGTATATATATATATATATATATATATATATAGATGGATTGATGCAAGTTTATGACCCTGGGTTTCATGCCCTTGTGATTGTTATGTATGGTGGTGTTTAAGTACCATGCATATATAATATATAGATAATATTTATGCATATATTTATAGTTAAACATTTTCTCTATCTGCCATGTACTTTCCGGACATGGCCCTCACAAATTTCTTGATTTTTGTTGCTTGAAGTAATTCCTATTCTTTATGATTCCTCTTTGCTTGAGTCTACAGATGGCTGAACAAGTAGTAAATCTTGTCCAGGAGATTACTGTTCTCAATTTTGTATCATAAACATTTCAGTTATCTCTGATTGTTTTGAGCAGTTTCTTTATAGTCCCTATTCTCCTTAAAACTGTATCTCAGCAGTCATTCATCAGGAAACCGCATTTCTATCACTTCAAGTCTTTTCTTTATCTGTGAAGAAATTGTCCAGTATTCACTGCCATATAGATTAGACATTACAGCAAACTTTTCCTTGTTTCTAAGGATATTTTTCAGTTCTTTAATATTTTTCTCAGTTTCTGAAAAGCATCCTTTGCTATTTCTATGGCCCTTTAGATATCTGTCACACTTTTCATTGTCTGTTACTATATTACTCAGATATTTAAATTCCTACATCTGCTTGATATATAGCTCGTACCTTGGGATGTCCATCATGCATGTCTTTTTTTGTTATTAGTCTTTTCTTCTTGCACTCATTGACTACCTTGTCCAATAGTTGTTTAGTTTTCTTTTTTTTAATCTCTCATCTGTTTAGTGTATGTTGGTAATGTTCACTGATAATAAATCCTGATAGATCTTCTAGTACAATTAGAATCATTTCACTGTAAGGTTAAATAAAGATTTTGAGAAAACACATACTTGTCATATTCGGTTTTCTGTTTTAATGTAATCACTTAATTCTCTAACTGCATGCAAGCTATTTGTGTCCAGGACAAATTACAGATTATTTGAATATATTTTTCATGTAGAACATGACTGAACATTTAAAAGATTTCTTTATGCTTTAATTTATTGATTGCCCCAACAGCTTTTTGATAATGAAAATTGCATTTCTTGCTCCACTGTCTTGAACAAAGTCACATTGTACTTGTTTTATTTCTGTCTTTCTCTACTACAAAACTAATAATTAGGATTTTATAACACATAACAAAACTAATAATTAGGATTTTAATGAATAGAGATTCATTAAAATCCTAATTATTAGTTTTGTTATGCAGCTCATCAAGCTGATTGTTTGGTGGTGTTTACATTCATTCACATTGCTTTCTTTGGCAACATTATGAAGATTGGTCTACTGAGGTCTTCCATCATTTCACCATTGTCATATTTTGTTTTCCACTTTTGTATCTCAAAATCATCTAAGGTTGTCAATATATCGCATCTAATCCTGTTAGCTTGTTGTTTATCTTGGCCAATGCTGTCCTAATTTTAAATTTACATTTATTACAGATTCTTTCAAGTTTTATACATTGCAAGTGGTGTGTAGGTTGTATTAGCAACCTTCATACTAGTTGCAATAGCACAACTAAAATCCTTGAAAATGTCAAACATTTTAGCTGAAAGCAATAATTTGGACAATTCCTCTAGAGATTATGACCAAAATGAATTTCATAAAAAATAAGAAAAATACCATAAGAAACTTAACAGAAGTACCTTGTCAGTCATTTTTTATGAATCATATATTAGAGATTGCTGCCCCAAATTTCTAACTGAGCTTTCAACAGTTAAATAAAACAGTTTGGCTGGTAGATTCGCAAAGAGTATTTTTTGTTCTAATGTGGATGATTATTTGAATAAATGTTTACAGAATGAAACTTAAATATTGACAGACAAAGTAAAAATGAAATCAACAACTGACCAGATTTCTTTCTTTAATTGTTGATTCTAATGAAAATGTCATCAAAGTAAACAACTTTTATACACTTGGCATAGAATCAGAAAAAATTACATGAAGTAACAGAATTTAGAATTATTAAAGTTTTCATGAATTGTTGTGTATTTTTGATGAAATTTTAACATTCTTTTGGTAGAATTGGAAAGATTGAGAAATACAGAAAAAAAATAATAAAACCAGTATTTAAATGAAAACTATCAAGCTTTTAGAGGGGTTATATATTACAAGAGGAGAACTGACTCAGAAATACTTTCAAAATCTATATTTCTGAGATCAGGTATTGTAACTATCTATACTATTTTCATTGTTTATTGTCATATTCACAATGTTTCAGCTATTGTATGCTCCAGCCTTCTTCAGGTGATATTTCTTGGAATTTCAACAGAGGTAGATTGTACCTTTGGATATCTCAGTTTCTGTTTAATTCCACTTGATAACTCAACACTCAAAATTTTTGTTCACTCTGCTGTAGTCAGGTATTGAATTTAATACACTTTTGGGTAAAGTCACTTTTGGATAACCAATGCTTTTATCCACTGGGCTATATGTCCTTCGGAACATTGTTGAGTGAATTTATAAATTAAATTAGTAAATTAGATGTTTTTTTACCATAGTACAATTTTTTTGTTATTGTTTTTTTACTGTAGCTTTCTGTATTACTGGTTCTCATATTGTATTCATTTCTATGCTTGTCCAGCTTAGGAGATTTTTGTAGCTTTTTTTTTGTAGTTTTCATATTTTTCAAAGATGTTTGCTGTTTATTATTTCGACTTCATCCCACAGAGGGTGGTGATTTCCCTTTTCTCTCCAGAAACTGATATATCCAAAGGCATGTCATGTGGAATTAGAACAATTTAACCCTGTGGACTAAATAAAGCGTTCAGTTTGAAATTCCAAGAAATATCACTTGAAGAAGGCTGGAGCATACAACAGCCGAAATGTGAATATGGCAATAAAGATGAGGACAACAGCCTGAACAATGTAAATAGTATAAAAAGAAAATTTATTTAGATATTGGGAATTGAGGCAAGATAAGAACTTTTCAGCACTATTTATTGACTTTTTAAAGAATGATTCTTCTGTTTACTCACCTGTTCTGCACAACTCATGCATGTGGGAAGTAGAGGAATTACAGGGAACATGTATTCCAGAGGATACAACATTGAGACAAATGCCATTACACTCATTGAGAGAGCATTGTAATCTCGGGACTGCAGCACAATCTGTAGAAAGTAAATCAAATCATTATCAGTTAGGTGGAAAACAAAAAATAAGAACAGATATTAAATTAATGACGCATACACACAGATTAATAAAAATATCTGGTACTTCATCTTAAAACAAAAAAACATTTCTATATTTCGCTTTTTTGCAATGACAAAAAAATCTTGAATTTTTCTTTTTTTCAGGACATGGGAAATCATGGCCCTTCACAACTTGTTTCACTAAGTAATTTTTCACTATTTACCATTCGTCTTTGTCCCTATTCTACTATCCATTCACACAAGCTCAAAGTAGATTATTTGCTGTTTCTTTCTGCTTCTCTTGCCTTCAGTATTTCCTCTAAGTGTTAAATTTGCTAGGCCCTCATTCCTCATTATGTGCTTCAGATGTTTCAACTGTCTCTTTCTGATTGCAAGTGTAAGTATCCTTTTATTTATTAAGTTTTTATTATTGCTCTTATTCTGCACATGGTATTCATAAAATTCACTGATAAGAATTACATCTATGTTGCTTTAAATTTCTTTGAATTTTATAAACCCAGAAAGAGCCATTGTTTCTTTTCACCCATCTTTTTTTTCCAGCTCTGCCCAAACATTGTATTGACTTCTGATTGTAATTTCTGCTACATAGAGCACAACAATAACTTCTTAAGCATTGTGAAGAGCACATTATTGTAAAGAAAAAATAGAAAATTAATGATTAGAATCTATGTATAAAATTCCATGACTTCTGTTAGACTGTCCATCCATCAAACCCTCTAAAATAGCAATACAGTGACAGATTGAAAACAAATTTGTGGGGAAGTGCAAACAGGTAAGGGAGTACAAAATACAGTTAGTTTTACTAGGGTGAATAAAGTGAAGTAGGGTTTTTATCAAAGTATTTTTCAAAACAAATCAGGTTATTCAAATTTCATCAACTGGTTTGCAAAATTAAAAAAATGTAGAGTTTATAAATCTTGACAAAAAATGTTAGTGATAATTTCAACAATACTAAATACTGTGAAGATACCAATACATATTAGGATTTGCAAAAAAATTCTAGTGTTAGATACTGCAAACCTAACAGAGACTAAGGGACTAGTTTTAAGAATCTTTCATTGATAAAATCTATTTTTGAAGGATTTTCTAAATTATAAGGTCCTTTCAAACAGGTAGGTCCATGAAGGTAGTTGTTAATGGCCAATTTTCTGAAGCCTATGAGATCAATGCAAGTGTTTCCCAAGACTATCTTCTTGGTCTTACTATCTTTCTGCTTTATATTAATGATCTGCCAAAGAACATACTGAGATGTTTCATGAATCTATGCAGATACAACAGTGTATAGTTGCAACACCAAAAACCTACATGCCCAGAATCTGGCAGCTGATCTAGCTCTGGTGGCTCAATCATGGAAGAGCTGGCTTGTAACATTCAATACCTCCAAAACCAAACTACCATCATCAAGCAGATCATGAACTTTCACCTATCTCCAAAAAAGAGTACTGTTGCCATATGTTGGCTGGAGCTGAACAGTCCTTACTTGTCAGTCTCAATTGAATTTAGAAGCATCTACATGGCCTTGTGAATGAGTAATTATTCTCCATCCTACAATACCATTCTCACAAGCTACAACACCATCATTCTTTTTGTATTCCATTAGCATAAAGGAAGTTCTACTTCCAGATTCCAGAGAGGATGTTTTTCCAATCACTAGAATCTTAACCTCTTTAAGTCAAGGATTAACCATTATGTCTTACATAAGCTTATAAACCTTACTTTTTATTCCCTCCTCTTACACCCATCATTCAGTAATCCTAGACCTTGAGTGGCTGTTAGGTCTTGCATTCAGTGAACATTAATAAATAAATAAATATTACACTGCAAGTTTAACACTGTAAAAATGTATCTATTTATCTGCATTTGAATAAATCATATTTAATATTTGTGATAAAAATAGTTGATTTTAAGAGTTTAGATATTCATAAATTAATGTTGAAGTAGATTTTTTTATGTTTTCTTAGTATTATTGACAGTAGTTTGTTTTTATAAAGTGCTTCAGTGAACCAAGTGGAAGGTCAGTTAATTACTTTAGTAAAGGATCTTACAAGTTGAATTTAAATACTTAATCAGTAAAAGCAACTTTTAAACATTAAGTTTCAAGTTTCAATAAAGACGAGTTTTTTTTTGCAATATAAATAATAAAAATAGAGAAAAATGCTTACTTTTTGATTGAGTAATAATTTAATGAATAAAAGTTTTTAGAAGCAATGTAATGCTGCTCACTTTATAGCCTTTGAGAATAGACAGGTCTTTGCTCCATTTGACTTTTATAATAAATTGTTAAAATTACACAATTCTTCATAGAAATTAAATGGTAGCAAGCAATCTCCACAATATTTAATGATGTATCATTAGTCAAGAAGCAAAGAATGAATATCACTAATACATCTTATTAGTTTACTATTTAACAGTAAGGAAGAAATATTGCCAAAGGTAAAATATTTGAATAGGCCAAAGTGGATAGAATTTTGTTTAAAAAAATAAAATAAAAAATAAACAGATGAGAAAATAAAAATAGTTTGCAGACAGAAATTTTCACATTAATTGTTTCTTGTCACATTTAAAGTAGCTCTCAGCAGTTTTAAATTATGAGTCCATACTGAAAATATTTAAAAGAACAATTATTTTATAATCTGCTCTAAATAATATGCTCTGCGAAAATGAAAAAAGTATAAGATACATTCTTCTGTATATGGATGCATGAGGCTGAAGTGCAACACTAACTTGATTCACTAATGCTTTGCTAACATTCAGAATCATTTCAGAGTTCCATTTCTGCTTATACTTATGCAGAATAAAAACATGGTCAGTTACCTAGCTAGATAAAAATATTTACAACCTATGACTTGGTTTGGATAACCTTGCTCAATATTCAATGTTGTACTATACAGAAAATTACTTTCAAATGCACATATATGTTTATATGAATGTGAATATGCATGTAAATACACTGATTGCTGGTCTTTTTTAAGGACAAAAATTTATAGTATTTGTCTATATTTCTGAGATGAGGTATTATATACATTATTTACATTATTCGGACTATTGTCCTCATTTTTGTCGCCATATTTATTACAGCGTTTCGGCTGTTGTATGCTCCGGACTTCTTCAGGTGGTTGGAATATTGAACTGAACTCTTTATTTCACTCACCGGAGTAGACTGTTCTAGTTCCACGTGCCATGTTTAATGGATGTCAGTTATCTCCAGTTAATTTCCCTCTGAAAGTTCTCCACTGCCTTAACCGATTATTGAACTCACACTCTTTGGGTCCTATCACTGGATCTAACCAATGACTTTATCCACTGTGCCATGTGTCCTTGAGGACATCTGTGTATGAATTTCTGGATATTATAAACCTAATGTCTCAGCAACCATTTTTACCAGTGCTCATATTGCAATTTTTTCTGTTATCATTTCATGTTTTTACCAGAGATCATATTGCAACTTTTTTTTCTATTATCGCTTTTCTCTGGCACTCCTTATTACTGGTTCCCATATTGTATTCATTTCTATGCTTGGTCGGCTCAGAAGATTTTTGTGGCCTAGCATATGTGCTGATCCCTTAAGTTTACGAATTTTCCAATGGTGTTTCTTGTCTATGATCTCAACCTGATCCCACAGAGGGCGGTGATCTCCCTTCTCTCTGAATACAATATGGTTATAAGGATATTGGCTTTATTTTGCCTGCTACTCTTTAGACAGGTAAAGTAGTATGAGAGAGTGGTTTGACCAAGAATTTACTTATCCAATTATTTCATAGCTAACCATTATGGCATACCACTGACAAAAAATATTGTCAAGATATCTGACATTAGGAAAGCATAAGGAGAAATGGATTTAAACCTTTTGCAACAAGTCAAGATAAGCAGCTTGGAAGTTGGTTTGCAGATTATGTTAACCATACTAGCAACTGTTACATCATTTTACCCATGTCTCCTACATGCAGACACACATTATACTGCTGAGAAGAAAAATAAGTTTAACATCTGTAAAATATGTAATTTGTCTGGCTTTCAAAAAAGAAAAATTTATTGTAAAACTGATCAAATAATTTTTTTTTTAAATTCTTATGTCAGTTTTTGCTTGCTAATTTTGAAAATTTGTTACAGTTTATTTTTATGATTAGGACACAGTTTTCAGGCATTTTTAGATAGTTTAATTCTGTAGACAGTTTAGAGAATTTATATTTGATAGTTATTATAACCAACAAAATTCTTCAAATGCTTAACTTTTCAATATGAAAAACTAAGGAATTCAGTTTCTTCAAATGAGTGCACATGTTAGCATGACTGATTCTTCTTTTGAGATGTATATATATTGTACATCTATTTATTTTGGTACTGATGACTGCTGCTAAAAAGAATTTAAGTAGGTGTCATCCTCTAAGAAAGGAACGATTCTCTCATTTTATGACAAAAATCATAGCTTCAGGACCATAAAAAAGAAGTAGAAATAAATAAATTTAGATATTCCATTAAACCACCATTAACAGAATTGTTCACTAAAATCAAGAAAAAGATCAATAACCAAAAAAAAAAGAATTAGAATAAAAAAGTCCTCGAGACAGGAGAAAAATGACCAAAATGGCTGTTACTGACAGGAAGCAGACAATCATTTCTTTGTCCAAGAATTTTGCTTTCAGTGAAAGATAAAGTGTCTCCAGACATATTATCAATAAGTCTATGAAATAATTTGAAATTTCCAATAGGGTTTGTACAAGAAAGTCTGAACTGTCAAAGAAGACTTGTTTTTTTCAAAATGTCATCATCACTGATGAATCAAGAATTTGCCTGCTTGTAAATGTACATTGTAGATGCCTCAGAAGAGAAGTGAAAAATTAAAACAAGACTGCCTACAAACAGCAATGAATTTTGGCAGTGATAAAATAATGACATTGATCTGTTTTACCATTCATGGTATTGAACCAATGGTTTTCTCAGTGGTGACTAGGTCACCA